CTCAATGTTTTCGAAGCCACAAGTATAACAAGTAACATCTCTCCATGTGACTACACTTGGTCATGATGAATTTGCTGCTTGATTCACCGAACTAGGGAATATAGGGCGTTTCTTCCCCTGAAGGGTGTGTATCTTCCTGATAACTGATGTCTCCATAAAAATATGCATTGGATCAGCACATTGGCTAGAATGGTTTGAATGTAGCACCCAGGTTGAGGGGATTGTCCACTTGGTGTATCTTGTTTTGTTCACTTTTTAAATCAATCTGTAGGTTCAGTAGGAGTCTGAAGGTAGATAAGCTCGATGATTACACTCATCATTGTTACTGTGTGGGATAAGAGAAATAGGCATTGCATTAATGATCTTGACCTTGCTAATGAATTAGAAGTTCTCTGGACCAAAATGTGGTTTCCAGACCAGCAGCATCAACTTCACTGGAAACACGTGGAAAATGCAGATTCTAAGGTCTCACCCCAGCCCTACTGAATCAGGAGCTCTAGGGTGCCCCTGTCTGGGTTTCCATGAGCCCTCTGGTTTATTCTGATGTACCTCATAGTTTGAGATCCATTACTGTAAATCAGCACTGCCAGTGGAATATTCTGCAGTGTGGAAAAGTCCAACCTGGGAGCAAATAGCCACAGACTCTTCAAGTGCGGCTAGTGTGACCCAATGATGGAACTGTTTATCTAATTATGATTAATCTAGGTTCAAATGGCTACATAACTAGTCGGTGCCCACTGGATAGTCTAGTTCTAGAGCATATCCAATTTCTGTTTTATGGGTAAACTCCCAAAATGCTATAAAATACATTATTAGTTGCAGAATTATTCATTTTATGGAAAAAAAAGTCCTCCTAGAGTGAAACTTCTGTTGCTGTAACAGTAGTTTATTTTGATTGTTCTGGTTCTTTTTTGGGGAGGGCAGTTCACTAGAGGCTAGCTAGTTGGGAAGCCTGTTCTTAAGAGTAATACTGATGGTGTAAAATGTACTTCAAGTGTGTGTCACCTGGTAAGTAAGTATAACTGCTGAGAGTGGGCACATGTCCTTCTAGAAGGAGTAAAACTGTAAGGAATAGAGCTGAGCCAACCATTTCTTTCTTAAACATTGATGCTCTGACCCTGTTGTGTGCAAAGTGAGGTGGAGAAAGGAAAGCATATTGTGAACTTTCCTGCCTGAGGGAAGTTTTAAAGGAGCTGTTAATGAGCCCTTCACATACTTTGAACTTCTTGTGGAATCTTCCAGAAACTTTGGGTGTGTGTATGTTTGTGTGTGCACCTGCTACATTGCTGAGTCTGGGCCAGCCTGTGAGGTAAATGAAACTCTAGAATAATGTTCAGGTTCTTTGACTTCGGAGAATTTGAAGGAAAAAAGGGCCATGCTGGGCTTGTTAGTCTGAATCCTTACAAATCCTGGAAAATAACTTTGAAACCAGGCTTTGGGCAAGCTACTAGGCTGATATGGCTACAACCTGGTTGCCTTTTCCAGAACACCAGGAAAAGCTCCGGGCTGAGTCTGCCAGAGGTTGTTGGTCCTGTGATTGGAGCAGAGTTGACATTTAGAAACCAGAGAAAACCTAAGAATGGTTAGAAGCTTTCTCCCACATCTAACAACTGAAGCCTAAAAATTAAAGGAATCGTCACTGATGAAACAAAATGATACTGAATTCTTTGTTGGAAGGAAAGTTCTACATGACTGAACTTCCTAATTGGGGGTCCATTGTTGCATTATTTAAATCCATTATCATAGATTTTCATAATTCATATCTCTTCTTAGAATCATAGAGTCTTAAAAACAGCTGGAAGACAATTTAGAAATGGCTGTAATCCAGCTTTCCCATTTTATCGTTGAGGAAATGGGGGCTCAGAGAGGTTGTGTGTTGAGTAAGACACACACAGCATGTACAGGGCTGAGTTGCAAGGGGCCTGTGTCAGCCCTCCAAGGACCAGACCAGGCCACACCCAATGGGTCAGACAATGCACTGCTCATCTGTTCCTTCTGTGTGCTCAGCTCCATGTTGTCTCTAGATTGTGTGGGTATAGCTGGTCTGGAAAAGGAATGGCTTGGGAGCATAATAAGAAATGCATTGATGCTCATTGTCTAGCTATATTTTAAAATGCTGCTATTTGAGAATGTGTCATGTAAATATCTTGAAAAATTCCAGTAGAGGATTTTGACTGATGAAACATTGCATCCACCTTCTCAAAACAGTTAAAATTATTTGTGCTGTGTTAAGTGTATGAATTAGTCATTGCACAATTTGTATCCACTTTTTTTTATTTTTTAGGGATGATTTTGTTAGGATTTGCTTGTTTGCCAAGCACTAAGCCTGCTTCAGTTTTGACCTTGATATCCCTTCTTTTGTTAGTTACTTTCTTTAAATAACATAGCTAACTTTATCCCCACAGCATTGTAATGCTAGATGCAAAGAGTATGGCACTGAGCTCATAATGAGCCTTCTCTATTGGCTGCAAGAATGAATGGAATCCCACCCAGACAGGTCTGAGTGTTAACTTTCTTTTGATTTTTACTATGGCTGAGGGAAAAAATTCTGTAGGWTAGAAAGAATATTATCCATGTGATTCCCCCCACCCCCTCTTAGGCTTGAATGGAATCTTTAAAAATTCACATGCACACCAAAAGGCTGGGAGAGGTTTGGTAAATTGAATGTGGGCTTATTGTTTGTGTCCACAAAACAAAGTCCTAAATCACATTTAGCATAATTTGTGGTTTTAAATTGGACTGATTTAGCAAGGAGAGTGAAATAATCTCTCATCCTGTCAAAAAGGCGATACCTTTAGACCAGCATTTAATTGCATCGGCAGAGTAACTTTGGGGAGGCGGCAGTAATTCTGGCCACATTATTCTTGGTTTGTGGCTAAATTGAGATCATCATTTTCTCCTGGTTTCACTAACTTTCTTTATTGCTCTTCAAGCTAATCAGATGAGTGTAGTGAGAGTAGACTTAGTGGTAGCTGGAGGCTGAACCAGGGGAAAGCTGGGTAAGTGCAGCTCACTTATGGTCAAGCAGGGAACAGGGGAAGATGATGCCCAGGGACCCAGCGGGCAAAACCAGATGATTTTCTTGGTAATTATTTACGATGAAGTGAGCACCTAAAATCTTACCTGTACTGTCCACATTGTACAGGTAAGATTCATGTATTGGTGTCTAAGAGTAATTTTGGAGGTGACTCGCAGCTGCCCAGATTATTCTATGAAGATCTGTCTGTTTATTTCCAGCCACTTCTGGAATCATTGCAAGGCCCAGTCATTGGATTACTGCCCCCTGCTGGTGGGTCTTAGTCCAGAATGATCCATAGTCTCCATTTCCTCCGTGGAACCAAAACATTTACCAAGTCTCATCACTAAAAGAAGTCAGGTCATTGATGCCTTAGGTATTTCTTAACACTGAAAAATGACTCCTCAGAACTGTTGAGAGTGTAGTGTGCCTGTTCTCTTTACTTGTTCTCCTGGGAGCTGTCAGCTGGTGTTCTTGGGATGACTATCCCCTTAAATATTTCAGATGCKTGTTTGGATTTTTACACCCTCCTTGGTACTGGTACTGAGCATAGCTGCCCTAGGTTCTGAGTTTAGGTATCAGCCAGCAGGCAGGTTGGCCTTCCTGGGAGGGACTTGTGGTGGGAAGGAAACCACGTTCATACGAGACATGACCCACTTCCTTGTACTGGACTTAGGCTTGTGTCAATAATTCCAGTTACCTGGGTAGTCTTGGTACTATGGGCAAGCTCAGGGCACGTACAAAATGTTTGTAGAAAGACTGAATAGCAAATGGATAGGAAAATGACAATTTATTGAAAGACTCTCTGCAGTCAATTAAGAGTTGAACAGTTGGCTGTCAGTATCCTTGGGGATCTGGCTCCAGAAGCCCTTTGAATAACAAAATCCAAGGATAGTCAAGTCCCTTGTATAAAATAACAGTTATTTATTTATAACCTACACACATATACTTTAAGTCCTCTCTAGGTGACATAATATCTAATATAATGTAAATACTATGTAAATAGCTATAATACTGCATTATTTATGGAATAATGACCAGGAAAAAAGTCTCTGTATATTCGGTACAAATGCATTTTTCCCCCAAATATTTTTGATCCACGGTCGGTTGAATTCACGGATGTGGCATATATTGATGCTGAGGCTGCCTGTACTTTGGAGGTAATGGTGCCTTTGGCTTTTACATTGGTTGTTTGCAGGTCTAGAATATCAGGAATGAGGGACCCTTTTGGATCCCTGGTGGTTTATTTTTCCTTTGATCTGCATACTTCTATTCATAGCATGCTACTGAGTTAGCTTTTTGTATTTCTGTATAATAACATTGTATTGATCAGTTTCTAATCTGATGTGACCCGTGTGTGTGTGTGTGTGTGTGTGTGTGTGTGTGTGTATTGATCAAAGCATATTACTCCAGAGGCCAAAAGTCAGAAACCATGAAGGTTGAATATTTGATCAGTTAAGGGTGAAGCTGGAATTGTGATTTAGTGCAACGTTAAAGACAACAGCTTTTCAGATACTGGTTTGTTTAAAAAGGTTTKAATGCATCATCACTCAGGAAGGGACTTGGGTGTTTGCCATCTTTCTTCTGGTGGAGATGCTTGAAAACAGAAAGGAAGAAAACAGTTGTTGCTTGACATAGGACGATTGCAAGTATATATACTTAGTAATATTCACTTTAGGCTGCCTATGGTATAGAAATTCGTTTTTGTCCTTTCTTGTTCCCTGCTCTCTTCTTCATTGTCTATCTGATTTGAATGATGCCAAGAATTTTTTTATCTAATTGTACAGGGAGGAAACACACCCACTTCTGCTCTGTGGTGAGTTAGTACCTAAGAAAACCTACACAAAATCTATAGGACCTATGTGTGAGTTGGAGGGTCACGTTGGAGTTTCATTTCTCCTTCCTTTGAAAGAAAAGTGGAATGTGTTGCTGGCATTCCTGGAGGGAGATTCCTGGATTCTCATTCTACATTTTGTTTTCTTAGCGGTGCCACCAAACATAGCGGAACTGAAGAACTTGGAAGTGCTTAACTTTTTTAATAACCAGATTGAGGAGCTGCCCACACAGATCAGCAGTCTTCAGAAACTCAAACACCTGAACCTTGGGTGAGTACTGGAGGATGGGACAGGAAAGGAAGGTGAGGAAGGAAGTGGAAGGGGAGTCCAGRGTGTGGGCAGGGGAGGCCGCCATTTATAATATTGTACAGAAGTGGATTTCTAATTTCTTTTTATGTTTTAGGTTTTCAAAAAAGTTTTATTGTTTTAATATATCCTTTCAATGGCCTGCATTAGTGCAGATCTACTTGAGAGCTAATTGAGAAGCTAATTGTTGGCACAATAAGGGAGTTTTTTTTACTGTATTTTGTTTCCAATAAAATTTTATTTCAGTTGTGTTGACCAGGAAGGGACTTATTTGGCTAACATTAACTGTTCAGACAACTCATAATATAGCTGCTCCCCTGCCCACCTGTACTAAGTAGAAATAGCTTACAAAGTATCTTCCTACCAATTTGAAGTTGGACATTTGTCCATTCCCTAAGGCCACCTCATTAACTCTTGAAATTCTTCTGTGTCCTTAGGCTAGTCTTCCTTTATGCAGAGGTGGATGGGGCGGAACCAAGTAAGAGTGAATAATAATAATACCTTGTGTTCCTACCTTGCTTTGCAGTTTTTAGAGTCCGTCCTCCCTCCAGCGTTTGACCCCTCAATATTTGTGGGGTGGGGAGGACAGACTTTAATGCTTTCATTTCACAGAGAGGAAGAGAAGCCCTTCCCAAGGGTTTAAGTGACTTGCTCTTGATAACCCGAGGTCAGTGACTGAGCTGGGGAGAGTTTCATTGGTTTGGCTCCATGCGTTCTCCGTAGATGCCAACCAGAACTTCAACTTCTGAATTCTGTCTCCATCAACATAGGTATTAGGTGAAACTGCCCACTGATGCTTTATTTTTTGTGCGAAGTAATATATTCATTAAATTGTATCCACTAAATGCTCCAGTTAAGCTTATGGTTTACTTGGAGTGGCAATAGAAACTGACCAGGTATTTATTAATTAAATAGGAAACAATTATGGAAAAAAAAGTCTCATTCATGAAGTGAGTACTAGTTCATTCTTTCCTCTGGGGGTGTAGGTAGACGGTGTTATTTTGATGTTCACTCTGGCTGAGACACCATCTTTCTAAAAACATTCTTTTCCTAACGTGTGAGAGGAAATGGAGTTTAAAGGAGAGCGAGACATTGCTTTATTTATTTTTTTTTTAATATTTATTTTTTAGTTGTAGTTGGACACAACACCTTTATTTTATTTATTTTTATGTGGTGCTGAGGTTTGAACTCGGGGTCTCACACATGCTAGGTGAGCACTCTACCACTGAGTCACAACCCCATCCCCTTATTTATTTATTTTTGAATGGGTTGCATTTTTTATTTGTTTATTTTTAAAATTTTCTTAGTTGTTGATGGACTTTTATTTTATTCATTTATTTATATGTAGTGCTGAGAATCTAACCCAGTACCTCACGTATGTGAGGCAAGCACTGTACCACTGAGCCACAGCCACAATCCCATATTTTTGTTTTTTCCATAATTTATCGGTGCATTATAGTTGTACATAAGGTGGAATTTGTTGTTAAATATTTAGATATGCACACAGTATGAATTTGGCCCCTGTCATTCCCCAGAATTTCCCATTTCCCCACCCCTAATCCCTTTCCCCTCCTCTATTGATCTCCCTTTGATATTCATTAGATGCCTMAACATATCTTTTTCTTTTTCCTCTGTAGCTTCCATATATGAGAGAGAACACATTACCCTTGACCCTTCTGAGTTTGGCTAATTTTGCTTAAGCATCCCAGGCGAGCACGCTACTGCTTGAGCCACATCCCCAGCCCCACTCTTAGTCTTTTGAGGAACTTCCATACTGGTTTCCACAGTAGCAACCTACTTTTAATTGAGGTGGTTTTTCTTGCTGCAAATCTGCAGATGGTACCTCATCAGGCAACGCAAAAAAGAGAGGCTCCTACCTTTTAAATCTTGTTTTTGAAGATTATTAAGTCCTAATGTATAATTTGTATGTAAGTAAAAAGCTAAAACTGGACATGTATGTACATTCTTACTGTTAATTCGTTCATTTATTAAGGCAGTTCTGTATATCTCCATCATTATGTATCTGGTGAGCAGGACATAGTAGTTATAATTGTTACTATAATTTTTTTCTTTTTTCATATATTTCTTGACATGTAAGTTACTATTCTATGTCAGGAGCTTTTGCTAGTCTTGGGGATGCAATGTGACAATCATGGTTTGGGCCTTAGGCATGAGAGCAGGGCCTGTGGGCAGTCAGCAGCAATGGTTCAGCAGGGTCACAGGTGTGCTGGGGCAAGTAGGGCCACAGAGGGAGCAGAGAGAGGAGCAGGYTGGCCTTCCTGTGGTCCTCAGAATGGCTCCCATAGGCGGGATTGGAGTTGAGGCTTGAGGCCTGAGAAGGAATTTATCAGATTACTAGAAGCAGCAAGACATCTCAGGTTGGTAAAATGACATATTTTAAAACTCAGAGCACTGTACCACATGTCTGCGAAGTCTTATTGCGAGTTTATTGGTGTTGCTGAGTGTCAAGTGTGCGGCAAGGGATGGTTGGTGAGAGGCAAGGCTAGACAATCATGAATGTGTCTCTGCTGCTCCTTTGTTTGGGGAGGGTGGCACTGGGGATTCAACCCAGGGTACATGACCACGGAGCTACATCCCCTGACTTTTTTATTTTTATTTTGAGGCAGGGTCTCACTAAGTTGCCCAGGCTTGAACTTGGGATCATCCTGCCTCAGCATCCCAAGTAGCTGGGATTACAGGGTACATATCATGCCCTGCTCTGCTGCTCATTTAATGAGTTTATTGAACTCCCAGCTGGGTATCAGGTGTTATTCTCAGTACTACCTACCAGCCCATATGGAGCTTATGTTACAGTATAGGAACCTAACTATAAACAAATAGACGTCAATCATGACAGGGAGTCAAATGACAGGGAGTCATTGAAGGGAGCTTTGATTTTTATCCTGCTGAACATTGAGAAGTTTGTGCAGCAGATTAATGGATATGAGAAGAGGTCAGATTTTTGTATGAAAGATCAATGTGGAGGATGATTGGCAGGGGCAGGAATGCAGATCGGGAGGCCATTGAGAACACCAGCTTGGTATTCCTGGGGAACTAGGGTGGTGATGGTGGAGGCAGGAGAAGGATTTTATGGGAAAAGCATGAGGAAAACTGCAAGACAGTAACGGAGGGGATGGGGGGATACCCAGATCTGTGTTGGGCCGCTAAAATAGAAATATAAATGGAGATGAGTTTGGGAAGATAATGAGCTTGGGTTTTATTCAGTTGGATTTGAGGTTCCGTAGGACAGAGTGGTAAACTTTTGTTTTTCACTGTGTATGTCTTAGTTTTCTTTGTCCTCTTTGGAGTTTGCCTTTTTGGCTCTTGGTGTTTTATTGATTATATAAACCTTTCTGTATTTAATTGCATAGCTGCATAGGTGGGGTTGTCAAAGTTTGCACAAAAGTTTTGAGTTCTCTGAGAAAGAAATCGGGATGGATTTCAATAAAGGAATTCTATCCTCAAATGGCGTAAAGAATTATACACATACAGCAAGGCAAGGTTAAGGCAAGTTGTAGAGAGGAATAAGCAGCCAGAATTAAAATAGGCCCTCAGGAGACCATAAAATTGAGCAATTAGGCCACATGTATTTAGGGTCTAAAGGGGACACTCAACCAGAATTTGCTTTTAAAGTTGTATAATTTGCTGTTTATTCTGATGTTCACAAGACCAGCTGTTCTGGAATAACTTTGGACCTGGTTGATTGCTAGAGCTCATCTCGTGCACACTTAGTAGTTAATGAATCAAGTGAAATACTGGACATAAATGTGCTTCAAAAATTATGAATTCATAGAAAATATCATGAGTAAATATTATTCATTATCATGATAGTAAATAGTCATTGAGGTCATTTGTCTCATGTGAATTTCACCTGGAACTTTCCTGCCTGAGAGACAGAATCCACTTTCTTCTGCTTTCCCCTTCAACTGTCCTTCTTGTGAGGCCTGATTGGTGGAGCTGGACAGCGCTGGATCTGTTAGGAAAAGGATTGGTGACTAGAATGACCTTTATTATCACGTCCCTCCACATTTTAGTAATTGTCAACTTGTATTAAAGCTTTTTAATTGGCTTTTAAGTTTGCTCTGGGGGGCAGTATTTAAAAAATACATACGTATTCTGTATGTGTCCTAAAATTTACCATCTTAATCATTTAGCAGTGTATGGTCCAGTGAGTGATAAATATTTTCACATTGTTGTGCAAATAATCTCCAGAAGTTTGCAGGCCTGAAACTCTATACCCATTAAATAATTCCTTTCCTCCTCTCCCAGTCCCTGGCAGAAAACACTCTAATTGCAGATGGTTTTGAATCGTAGTAATTGTACATCAGAAAATTAATATCCTCCTCCCATTAAAAAGAATAAATGAAGTAGTCAGGTGTAGTCGCACATGCCTATAATCTCAACGACCCAGGATGCTAAGGCAGGAGAATTGTAGGTTCAAGGCCAACTTCAGCAACTTAGCAAGGCCATATCTCAATATAAAAAGTAAAAAGAGCTGAGGGTGTAGCTTAGTAATAAAGCATCCTTGGGTTCAGTCCCTGGTACCAAACCAAACCAAACCAAAAACCAGACACACACACACACACACACACACACACAGGAATAAATAAAATAAAAAGTCCAAAATTGTGAAGTATTATTGATACATTCATAGAGAAGTTTTTCTCTAGGTGACAGATATTTTGTGATAGTTTGTTTCTACATACAACCGTAATTGAAATTGACCATTGGAGAACACGAGTACAAGAAATTTTCAAATGTATCACAAAAATATAGATTCTCTGATAAAAATTATTATACCACGTGAGTGACAAAAATTATCATACCATGTGAGATAAATATATTGTATGATCTCACTTATGTGTAGGATGTAGAAACCCAAATTCTCAGGTGCATTGATCCATGCCAGTAATCTCAGCTACTCCAGACACTGGGACAGAGGTCACAAATTCAAGACCAGCCTCAGCAATTTAGCTGGACCCTTTCCCAAAGTAAAGGGGATTAGGGATGTAGCTCAGTGGCAGCACCCCTGGGTTTAATCCCCAGTGGAATGGGGAGTGGGGAGATGTTAGTCAAATCACATAAACCTTCAGTCAGACAAGGAGTGAATATTGTGCATCATGGTGACTAATGTCTTATTTGAAAGTTGCTGAGAGAGTAGTGTGTGTGTTTGTATGAGTGTGTTTTCATACTCATAYGTGCACATACTATATCTAGGAGGTAATACACATGTGCAATAGCTTGATTCAGCTGTTTGACTTTGTACCCATTGCCCCATGCTGCTCAGCATTCGTATGTGCAATTCTTACTTGTCAGTTAAAGCAAATTAATAATAMAAATTTAAAAAGTAACATAAAATGCCCATGAATCTTGGCATCCCTTGTGGACCCTCAGCCTGTCCAACCAGGTTTAGTGTGAATATACAGTATTGCGCATAAACATCTTTTGCATGTGATGACAGGTTTTTCTCCCCCCAATGACAGGATGAACAGGCTCAACACTCTGCCTCGAGGATTTGGCTCTCTTCCAGCTCTTGAGGTCCTGGACCTGACTTACAACAACTTGAGTGAAAATTCTCTTCCTGGAAATTTCTTTTACCTTAGTAAGAAACTTTTAATTCTATAAATCTCCTTAACATGGTACTTTGCGTTCTAAGAGTGAAATTTATTTGCCAGGGCCCAAACTCTTAAGAGAAATTATGAGACATATATATTTTTTTCTTTACAGACTCCTTTTGAATATTCCTTCATAGCTCAGCAGTATTTATATTTGATATATAGTTATCTGACACCTCTGGGCAGAAGTGGACTTAGTAATGTCATATTAACTTTCTGAGAGAGATTTTTGTACCTAAATGAGATCAAGTCTCACATTTAGCCAAGAAATTTGACTTTCTTTTTAAAGAATATGCCAGAAAAAAAAAAGGACTCCCATGTTGCTATTAATTCTTTGTAGGATATTTGCTTAAAGATATTTCAGACAATTATTTATGAAAATACCATTAATAAACTGTTAACAGAATTTTAAATTCTCTAGCCAGGATTCTGGTTTTAAGCCTTATAAAAAAATACTTTACTGATGTTGTCAGTTTTTTCCGGTGCACAAACATGAAGCAATTGTTGGTAATAGATGAATATACTTTATCTTTTTATATGCAAACAAACTTCTTGTTGCAGTACTCCTTAAAGTTAGGAAAAACTTAATTTTCTAGGAACTCATGAAATATTTAGGAAAAGATTGCCTCCTTTAAATGAATATACCACTTCTCCAAATAGCAACATCTCAGGCTTGCAGAAAATCTGAATTTTCTGAGCTAGCTTCTAGATTTTCAGTTTTATATTGTGTACATTGCTTTTCCCAGACTTTCCCAAACACGTGAAACCAATTTGAAAATATTTTCTTTCTTGGGCCAAGTATATRTTGTCTGTGTTAAATATATTAACATATAGTTCTGCCAAATTTTAAAAGAGAATACCTGTAAATACATTTTTTTTAAAGCATACATCTAATTATAACTCCCCTTTTTTATTGAGGACAACAGATGCTTTAGAATTTCAGACTTCAGTGCTTGGGGTCAAAGCATCACTTTGTAATTGTGAAYGAAGTGACTCCTGATAATTCTCCCRAGGTTGGGCTTCACTCTTGCTCCATGACGTCATTTCAGCCCTTTTGTCTTCATATTTTTGTCATTAAGGCTATAGGAGCAAGGATCAGCAGTTAGTCTSATAGTGGAAGACTTGAGCCCCAGTTATGACTCTCATCACCAAAAGCCTTCATTTCCTTATTTATTTTGAGCATCTCTCTGTTTACATAAGAAAGCTCTATTGTGACACAGTTTACATAAAAGAGCCCTTTTGCTCTAGGTATTCATGTAAGTGACACAGTGGTTCTCTTTGTCTCATTTTGGATGCAAATGGAGTGATAAACTTGAATCAGAAGTAATAGAGAAAAATAGCTGTCTTTCCTGAAAATGCATTGGAACTCTGTGCCAAAAACTGCCTGTGGTACCCACAGTTGTTAATTGTGTCAATCCTCTTGGATATAGATGTTTTCCTGGACACACCAGCTACACAATCAGCCAGTAAATCTGAGTTTGACCTGCTTGTTATTATAGTAAGCCCTAGGTATGTCACAGGCTTTTCACCAAGCCAGGGTTATTAATCAAAGCTGACTCCTTTGTATTGATCAGACYTCAAATGGTTGGGTTCCATGCCACCCTGTTTATATATTGCTGTTTAATTTGCAGCCACCCTGCGTGCACTCTATCTAAGTGACAACGATTTTGAAATCCTGCCGCCAGATATTGGGAAGCTCACAAAGTTGCAGATAGTAAGTAATTTATCTAAATTCTTAGAAAATCAATTCACTTCTGCAGCCCTTGTAGGAGTAGAATCAAGTCAATTTGAGCAGGAGTAAGGTTTGTTTTGCAGGAATGAGCCACGACTCCTGCTACTGTTTCTTGTTTAGCCACAGACACTTGTAAATAAATTGAAAGGATTGAGCCTGAGAAAGAGAGAGGGCATGGAAGAGGACAAGAGTTTCAGTCGAGTACCTCGTTGTGAGAAATTGTTTTGACAACTCCTTGTTTTCTTGTATTTAGCTCAGCCTTAGGGATAACGACCTGATCTCCCTGCCTAAGGAAATTGGGGAGCTAACGCAGCTTAAGGAGCTCCACATTCAGGGGAACCGCTTGACTGTTCTGCCCCCAGAACTAGGTAAGACTGCTGACGGATGGTCTGGGTCTTGGGTTACATTAATAATAATTATCCAAATGCAGCAATTCCAAATGACTGCTCTCCTCCCCTTGGCAAACCCTACTCCCAGGCACCTGATTCTCATCATCTCAGGCCCATTTGTCATTGACCAGAGTCAGCCATTGAGGGTTTGACCTGCTCGGCTGCTGTGTTCTACAACTGGAGTGTCCAGCATCTCAGAAACTGCTGACGGATGCTGACCCAGCTCAGCAGCAACCTGTGTGGTGTCGTGGGAAGAGCTGGGGTGTAGTAATGTTCTTATTTATAGTGCTTCATTTACTAGCTGGGTATGCCTTCTAGGTTCTGATTGGGTTATTAATGACTTACCAAAGTATCACTCTTACTTTTCTTTAATACTCTATTTTTTTTTCTTGCCCCTAAAAACTTACCACTTAAAGTATTAGTTCTATTCCATGGAAAATGCCTTTTCTAGTCATGAATTTGGTTCTCTCCTGGTTCCATCTCCAGTGAGAATTGTTAAATAGGGTCTGTACGAATTCTTTGGTCCTATTCCTGGATGCTGAGTCTCAGTTCCACTCCTGGTCTTCCTAATGGCCCAGGGTGGATGTTGGCTCTCACATGCAGACCTCCCAACCAGCAGTTAGGTTACTGAGGTTGTGCTGTCCCMGTTCCCCCTAACCACAGATTTAGCACCCCTGCAAAGGGTGCATTCACCACACCTTTCTTCTCCTGGCTCTTTCTATCTTTTCTTTTCTTCAGTCTTTTTGAATCATATTTTCTCAAATTTTGATCATTTGCTTTTCTGCACTCAAATGCCATAAAAAACTGCATTTAACTCATACTTCTCTGAGAAAACAGTTCTTTATATTGGTGTGGTGGTTTTAAAGAGGGCAGCTATTATACACTGAGATGTAAGTACCAGGAGGACAGGGACATTTTCTTTTTTTTTTTTTTTTTTTTTCTTTTCAGGGACATTTTCTTACCTGTTCCCTGCTATACCCCCAGTTCCTACCATGTGCCAGGCTGGAGGGATACACTCAAGGAAAATTTACTGAATTGGTTAATGGAACAAGAACCTTGGAGCCAGGCACAGTGGCACACGCCTTCAATCCCAGCRGCTTGGGAAGCTGAGGCAGGAAAATCTCGAGTTCAAAGCTAGCCTTAAACAGCTTAGCTAATGACTCTAAGCAACTCAGTGAGACCCTGTCTCTAAATAAAATGTAAAAATAGAATTGGGGATGTGGCTTAGAGTTTAAGAGCCCCTGGGTTCAATTTACAGTACTGAAAAAATCACATCAATGTTTATTGTAGCATAATTCACAATAGCTAAACTCTGGAACCAACCTCGTTGCCCTTCAATAAATGAATGTATAAAAACAATGTGGCATATATACACAATGGAATATTACTCAGCAATAAAAGAGAATAAAATCATAGCATTTGCAGGTAAATGGATGGAGTTAGTTAGAGAAGATCATGGCATTTGCAGGTAAATGGATGGAGTTAGAGAAGATAATGCTAAGTAAAGTTATCCAATCCCAAAATCCCAAATGCCAAATGTTTTCTCTGATATAAGGAGGCTGATTCATAGTAGGGTAGGGAGCGGGAGCATGGGAGGAATATAAGAACTCTAGATAGGGCAGAAGGGTTGGAGGGGAAGGGAGGGGACAGGGGTTGGAAATGATGATGGACATTATTAAATGTGATGAACAGTATTATCCAAAGTACATGTATGAAGACACGAATTGGTGTGAATATACTTTGTATACAACCAGAGATATGAAAAATTGTGCTATATATGTAATAAGAATTGTAATGCATTMCACTGTCATATATAAATAAAAAATAATTTAAAAATGGAAAAAACAAAAAACATAGAACCTTGGGTCCTTAGATAGCAAGGTGTTAGGAAGACTGTGAGCAGGCAAMATGTGACCTCTGCCTGAACCTGTGCTGTCCAGTACAGAAGCCTTTGGCCACATTTCAAATGCTCAGTGGCTGGTGGTGACACTGTAGGAACATGCACATAGAACACACTCCTGGCAGCACAGAGTTCTGTTGGGAAGTGCATGATTTCATGGAATGATCACAAAATTTGACCTCTACTTTGACCATYTCCTTCCATTCCATTACTGGGGTTAGACCAGAAAGATTTCTTTTATGATTTTAAGGGCTGACGAGTAACTTAGTATTTTCTCTTTATTGAGTTACACGTCGTCAAGTCCTGCCTTGGGAGGAACAAAGTACAGGATCCAGAAAAGCTTTTTGGCAAAAAAAGAAAGAAACAAAAAATGAAGGCAAAAAACTTCTTGTCAAAACAGAGATTTTGTGCAGTGATTGTTAACCGTTGATGTTAGCATTAACCATGTTTTGGAAGTTATTGCAGACTACAAATACTGTTTCCTCCCCAACCTACTGAATCTGAGCTTCATATGTAGATGATAAAGGTCACGGATACTCGTCACATGTCTCCTTKGTTCATGTCCTTGGTAGAAATGGAAATTTAAATGTGTATTTTGTTGCTCTTTTAGTTCATTTTTCAAGTCATGAGGCCATGTAGGATATTTGATTAAACAATATTTTACTAGATGATAATTATTAGAAAAATACCTAGTTGAACCAATACATGCCTGCTCATTTATTTTTAAATCTTAATCCCTGTTGCTTAGTTTATTTAAATTCTCTGTCAATATTTCTATTAAACTTTTCAATACCAAATTATATTTTGTTTTTATTCAGAAGTAAAATTGAAGAGAAAGTCTTTCAATGACTGTATTTGCTAGCTACACCTAGCAAAACTTGTTTGATGGAATTTTTTCTATGTGTTAGGAGATGCTTAGTTGGAAATATATGCTAACCCCCCTGGGAGTTTCTTACACATCTAAATTCAAGATGCTCAAGATGAATACAATTAACTAACTTACTTAGTTACTTTCTTTCTTTCTTCCTTTCTTTTTATTGAAGCCAGGACCTTTAACCGCTGAGCTACATCCCTGCCCACCCCCTTTTAAAAATGTTTTTAAAGATAGGGTCTGACAATGGTACTTAGCACCTCACTAAGTTGCTGAGGCTGGCTTTGAACTTGCGATCCTCCTGACTCAGCCTCCTGAGTGGCTGGGGTTACAGGTATGTGCCACCATGCCTGGCTATTTTTGAACAATGATTATTTTCAGTCAAGAATAATGTAATAGTAATATAGTACTAGCYAGTATGTATTCAGGCCTCATGTGCCAAGGCATTAGGAGAAGTCATTTCCCTTCTATCTGTCTTATGGTTGTCATGAGAATAATAAGCCAACTTTTTAGAAGTGAGGCACCGGAGGCTTCCAGAGGGTTGGTAACATCTGCAGGATATAACTAGTGAGTCACAGAGGTAAAACTTGGCTCTGTCAGCCTCTTTTCCAGGCCTGTGTTCCTGGCCACTGTGTTGGTCTCCCTCCCACCAATTAGCCAATAAGAAGATTCCTAGAAATTCAGTTTCTAACTTTGAACAAAAGACAACCCCTGCCCTGTCCTCCCAAGGTGGTGGCAAGAGCAGTTGCCTGATGACTTGGCTGGTGTATGCGCAAGGCTAGAATAGTACTTTGCAAAATGTGTCAGAGGTGGCCTCTGCAAAACAAAATGCTGTTCTGTAGTTCCATTCCACGCCAGTTGCATTGTCCCCATGGTTCCTGCCTCCCAGTGAACATGTACCACGGAAGGAATGTTTGTTGTCCGTCTGCCTTCTACCTCAGTTGACCATCTGGAAGCCGCTTCTGGTGAGGAGCAATGCTGGGCACTGACGTACTTACAGCTTATTCCCCAGCTGCAGATTTGCTTTGGGGTGCATTTTAAAGTGTGGATGATGATTTCCCTCCTGCATGTTTATTTTGTACATGTCTGAATAAGCAAAGTAAATGCCCCTGAGGTTCCTGTGAAGTGTCCTTTCACAATAAACCTAGAGTTTATTAACTTGAAACCTTGTTGGTGAGAGTGTTTCTGCCCAGAAAGGAAACCCAGATGAGTTCTGACTTGTCAGATGCAAGAACATGCAGGAACGCAGCAAAATAAAGCCTGAGGCTTCGCTGGAGATTTAAYGTGTAATTCTATTACTTTCCTTTCATTGTGCATCCTTGCAGAAGTTACTTAAACCATATTGTCTGATTTCTAAACAATACAATACTTGCTTCTATGTTCATCCATATACCTGTGGAGTATTAGGTGTACTCCTGTCACTCACCTGTTCATTTATTCATTTATTAAGTTTCTACTTTAGACCAGGTCTTGAGTCCAAGGATCTTACTTGTCTAGTAAAGTAAAATTCATGTGTTCACCAAGCATTTATTGAGACTCTGCTTCATATATTTGCTAGGGATTATGATGAGAGAGAAAGAGACCATTCTTTACGGATCTGACGTTCTAGTGAGAGAGAGGGAGAGAGTAGGAGAGAGSGAGGGGGAAGGGGAGGGAGGGAGGAAGAACACAAACATAGTATGTCACATGGTATTAAGTGGTCTTGGAAAATATTAAGTATGCCAAGCTTGGGGAGAAGTGACCAGAAAAAACTTCACTCATAGGATGGTGCCTTTTAAGCAGACACTTAAAAGTGAGAGAGAGCCCTTCAGACAGGGAACATCATATGCAGAGGTCCTGGGATGAGCTTCTGTGTTGAGGAACAGTAAGAAGAGTAAGGTAGTTGGAATGGAAAGAGCTAGGGTGAAAGGTATAAGACATGAACTTAGAAAGCAAGTGGGGACCAGTCCACATAGGAACTTGGTTTTTTTTTTCCCCCTGGTACTAGGAGTTGAAACCTGGAGCACTTAACCACTTAGCCACATCCCTGGCCCTTTTTGAAATTTTTTTTATTTGAGACAGGTTCTCACTAAGTTGCTTAGAGCCTTGTTAAGTTGCTGAGGTTGACCTTGAACTTACAGTCTTTCTGCCTTAGCCTCCCAGATTGCTGGGACTACAGATGTATGCCATGGAGGCACCCTGCTAGCATTCTGGCTTTTACTCTGAATG